AACAGCTTCATCCAAAAACAGTTCAGAAGTCACATTAGTAAGATCACCCTAAAAAGTTTCGAAATGTAATATGAAAATGTGCTTTTTTACAGTGCAGATTGATCAGGATAACGCATATACGGTAGTTAACGGATTATACGTGCGGCTTATACAAAACTACGTTTATACAAAAACCGTGTTCTCAAGGTTCACACAATGTCATTAGGTTACAACATGGCGCACAAGACCATTAGTCAACGTGCATTTATTTACTTGCTGTCCATTAACAGAAACGGGAAACTAACCAATGCAAAGAAAGCTCAATAAACGATGTCGAAAGCTGCTACTGCCGCCGCCCATCTCAAATACGTACACAGTAGCGCAAATCCGCAGTCACATTGCGCTTATTGGTTGCAACATTTTATCCCGGAACGATCGATGGTAGGTTCAGTCGGCGCCACATGAATCGTATTTAACTGGCGTCGCACGGGACTGTCCTCATCGCCGGCATTGATTCTGCGCTGCGTAATATTCCGAAAAATTTCTGAAAGGAGGCAATGACGTCTGTATGGCATAGCCGGCTCAACTACTGTAATAATCACCACAACCACTGAAGCCCACTGCGTTTAAAAGTGCGACATGCGCAGCAACATTGTGGATGCAAACCAAAATGAAAGCACGCGACACTGCATCTACGACGGCGGCATGCATGAGAAAGCGCTTAAGCGACATGCAATGTTGCCAAACAGCCATTAAAAAATGCCTCTTCTTGGGTGTCATCGACTATGACTTTACTGTTGGCGTTAGCCTCATAACAGTGGTCTGTGGCCAACAAAGCCTGAACAACAGAGCTACCAATTGTATTGAATCTGAACTGTTTGAATCGTGTGTTGATAACGCAATGTGAAAGACTGACGATTAGTATAAAACAGAAGTCCTTCTGGCTTCATACCTACCAGCCGCTGGGAACAACAAACAATCAGAAAGTTTAATAATCTCATACCCTTAAGAAGGTTCTTGAGACATGAGCCGAAACTTCATCATTGGTCAGTCATCCAAATGACCAAGCGGTTACTTAATTTTTTGCACTGTGTATTGACAGGCCGTTTAACGCTCATTTTCAATATGACCAACGCATGAACAAAACTATCTACAGCTGAAGAAGCGATTACAGCTCCTTAACAAATGGCATTTGACATGGAAGCCGAGAAACGACTAGAAAATTCTTTCGGCACAGCGAATCGATCAACTTCAGAAACAAAGAGAGATTGTACTAATCAGTCTGTAGGGTTGAACAGGTCTCCCAAAACGCGTATTTTCTAGCGCACATGTTAAAGTCAAATTTTTATCCTGTTGCTTGAAACTAAAACAAAATATGCTAGAACTGACAGTAAAGTTTAAACTCGCGTATTCTGCGAAATTACGGAAAGTGTAACTGCAAAGATTCAAAGTACTGCAAACAAATATCATCAGAATATTTGGTCTACAAAACTCCGAAACAACTTAGCAGTGCCTTGGTCTCTTGCTTTACTGCAAACAATCTGCACTGTTATAAGATTAAATTTAAACTACCGTACAGCATGCATCACGAACAGCATCTTCGTTCCTTTTTCTCTGCATCTGTTGTAATAGGAATTGGAGTGACCGAAGGCATGAAAGAACTGCCACTTCTGCCCGACGTCAGTTGCTTCGCGCTAACAACTTTATAGATCTCTACATGACAGACAGTTTTAATGTTAGGACCAAGCAATAAAAATACATACACTCATCCCATAAATCAAGAACTACGTTTATTAGTTTCTATTCATTTTACACATAGCAACTGGCTGCCAACACAAATCGGGTACCTGATCAATTCAATCATATGAATCACTTTAGCGCTAAAAACGATAGCGGCACTATCCAACTAATAGTTAATTTACGGGAATTTTTATTCGCTGGACGATAAATGAAAACTCTAAACTAACCATGCATTTTAACTACACAAGGATATACGTTTATGCTAATGAACAAATCTGACACTGAACTTTCCAACGTAAAGATGTCTCACAAGAGTAGATGGACGATAACTATGCCTCATGTACCACAATTATCTGAGTCAATCAAAAGGCGCCTCAATAGCGCTGGGTTTGTGATGACAAAGCTCATTCAATAATACGAATGCTTCCATTTAAGTATAACCTTCCTAACAACCTAGCAGAGGCGCTGAATGTTGACTGCAGAGAGTCGACTGTGATCATCTAGAAGACAACGGCAAGATAAGATGATGCCATAATGGGAAAACCTATCGGGAGGTAAACCTTTGGATCAAAGAACATCTGCAGTCCGCCTTGGGAAGTCTGACAGCTCCGGTACTCTTCAATACGCCATTTCGGAGCCTCAAGTCAGACAAGCGCGCCTGCAATCGAAAGAACCACTCAAGAGTGGGTCTGCTGATGAACAAGCGCCTTCTCATTTTCGCGCAGAAACATTGAATGTGTAATAAATACTCATTCTCGTTATAAGTTAAAATTGGGGAACTATCACCAACGTGATAGTAAACAGGAAGACACACTGACGTCATGAGCGTCGCTCACACTTTATGTTGCTATTCAAATGTCATCTTGTGCCTATTTTCATAAGGTGCCTCGCTACCGGTCTTATCTCTTGTTTCGATGATGCTACTGGTGTAGTAGGGAAACGCAGCGGCAACAGAAGCTGAAACACCCACCATGCTTTAAATGACCGGAACCGCGGATAATTAAATTCGTTATACTTTTAACAGCTGACACAGAATGAAATCGTGAAATCATCAATTAGCCTATTATAAATTTAGGCTATGTGGAAACCAGTTTAAAGTTATGGAGTAGCAACTTTAAACGCGCTTCGTATTCTAGAAACTATATTATTCATAAAGTACAATTAAACACATAAGACCACGCAAAAGAATGCATTTAACTCGTTTATGAGACGTGACACTTTCAGAATCAATAATTGACAGTGCAACACGCCAGTGGAAGGAAGAATCACCATTCCGAATAACTTATGTTGACATGCATGTACAAATCAAAGTAGAGACAGTGCACAAGTACATGCAGACGCTAATGATTTTGAAAATCAAATTGCAAGTAAAATTCACTTAGCAGCTCATGCAGGCAATTCATTGAAAATGTTCCAATGACTGCTTAATGAAAACAACGACCAAACAGAAAACGCGAGCATGCACTCATCCCACCCACAAACGAAATGTCACCTGTTAGGATATTGGTGAATGCGGTTTCAACGTTTGTCGAATCCAAGGCGGATGTTTCAACAAACGACAATCCATTTCGTTCCGCATACGCCTTAGCTTCGTCAGTTGGCACGGCTCTCAAATGGCGTAAATCAGATTTGTTACCAACCAACATTATTACGATGTTTTGGTCCGCGTGGTCTCTCAGCTCTTTCAGCCACCGTTCGACATTTTCGTACGTTACATGCTAAATAAAATACTTTCACTACAACATCAACTGCACCACATGAAGTTCAAAAACCTCGCAATACCATCAGTAACCGCAACCCTTTATTGGAAACATCCACAGTAGTTGAAAATTTACCACTGAACATCAACAGTAGGAAACAAGAATTATGAACGACAATGGGAATTTTTTGCTAATCAACATTTAGATTTGACATAAAAATGATCTCAACATGCCTTGATGCCACACCATCTGCACTTGCAGTTAATGCTAATGACGTTCGCGCAGACAGCATCTGACACTTCCATTCATCATCCGAAAACTTCACGCGCGGTAAACT